TTTTGATCGATTCATTTTCCACACATTATCAACTCTTTGCAGCTTAATTAAAGCCAGAAAATATTTTTAAAAGGCTTTTTTTTTTTTTTCTTTTAAAAATAGATAATTATGATTTAGTCTTGCTAATTAACCCAAAACTGTAGAAGAAATGAATTGCTACCATTTCCAAAAGAGGATTTTATGCATAAGTGAATATAAGGAACCCAATTGGAATTGTAACAAAAGGTTTTTTCCAATTAACAATTCTGAGCCATTATCCATGACACCATTTGTACAGTCAAGATTATAGGACCTGGTCTTTCCAAGCAGTCACCCATCTAGGTACTGACCAAGCTCAATGTTGTTTAACTTCAGTGATCACATTGGGCAGGGTGTGACATTCCATACAAAGTGCTTCAAGAAGTTTTTTTTTTTTAAGTTAAGCCTTTCCAAAACAAAACTTTACCTTTAATTTGGAATTGCAATGACAGTACAGACCCTGAATCCATCATAAAAATTCCAGATGTGGAATTAAACACTTCCAATATCTCTTTCTATGGCTTGATGATAACAAATTTAGTAAAGGAGATAAGGAAACTTAACATAGAATAGGCTGCACTAGGAGTAGTTTCATCCAACACTGCAAGTGTCTACAAAAGCAAAGGAATTAATATAAGGACACAATGTTCTTAAACAGCATTATCAGTTCAAGACTTTCATAGAGATGTTATAGATGGTATGAAACCCATTCAGAAATATCTAAACTGTCAAGTGTATATGATCACATTCTCCGATCCATGATTGAAAAAGCAATCTCCTTTGTCAGTAGACTGATAATACAGAATCATAAAGAAAGGAATTCACCAAATAACAGAAACCACATCAGTTCAAGACTTCCAACAGCTACAATGACTAAAATGGATAGCACATATAAATTGAAGTAAAAATAATGATGTCATGAATATGCTGAATTTTATCACTACCTGTATCAAAAATGTTAGGAAGGATATAGTTATATATAACAGTTATTACACTTGAGGAGGAAAAAAAAATGGTTGAAAGAGCTTATAAATTTCAGCTGACTAATGCTAACTGATCAGTTAATGAATTCTAAATATTTGCTGTATAGAAAAGGCTAATCTTATGATTATCAGATGTGAATGGAGACATCAAGAAAAGAACGGTAACTTTTTCTTTATTAATACCTGTGGCTGTTAGCTGACTTACATTCACTTGAGGCATTTTATGAAACTATTTGGTAAAAATTGGGGTGGAAATAGTCATGCCATTTCCAAAGGAGAGGAAAGAGAGCAAATGAAAAATAATCTGAAATAATTTGTATAAAATGTAGTTACAGTTAAGTTTACTTGATGGCTAGTGGAGAAAAAAAAGTTTGGTCATTTTGGTGGATTTTTAAGATAGGAGGAAAAAAAAAAAAAAAAAAAAAAAAAGGGAAGGAAAAAAGAAAATGAAAAGCATGCACACAACTCATTGTTAATCAAATATTGATTACTTATAAATATTTTTCAGAGAATCTCGCATTTTATTTATATGTATGTGTATGTATGTATGTATGTGACAAGAGCGGGAGAACTAGTCTTAACTGACACATTTCATCCTTTGAGGGATTTTATCAAAAGGAAATGTAGGATTTATTTTGCTGCACATATACAAAAGTGATTAAATTAGAGAATGTTCATGAATATTCATCAGGTGGTTGAAAGGTCAGTCAAAACATGGGGAGGACACAAAGTGTCATAATTCAAAGTCTGGCAAAAAGTAAGCAAGAAATAGTCAAGAATTTCTTTTTTAAAGCCTTAATAGGCCAATGACATTCTTGACTTTGTATAGAAACATGTGCAGCCAAATAAATTCTACACTGCCTTGATAAAGTCCCTCAGAGGACAAAAATGCAACAGCTAAGTAGTTTTCCTCTTGTCTCTCTATCAATTTTGTTCCTATATATATATATATATATATATATATATATATATATATATATATATATATATATATATAAATAGGCTCAACAAGTGTTTTTTAAAATATAACCCACTCCTAAAACTCATTACTCCAATTATAGAAGGGAAGCAGCAGTATTCAAGTAAGATTATCTTACTTGGACCAACTAACAGGTTATGATAATCAGCTGGGATCATGAATGATAAGTGGTGTTTTTTTTTTGTTTTTTTCCTTCTGTAATCAATATACCAAACATTTGATAAAAAGACATCTAACAAAAATCTTTCAAGCATCTAGCAGAAATTTATGACAGGAAAAAAAAAAAAAAAAAACCATCCTGTTTATTGCAAATTTGATCTTACACTTGTTATATGAATGTTGGTTAGTTTTGTTTTGCCCTCTCTCCCCACCTCCCATATGTATTAGAAAGTTTTTTTTTCTCATTTCAGAAAATGTTCTCAGTTAGTGCAAATATAAAAAAGCAGTTAAGTCATTTTTCCAGTCTACAGTGCATGTGTGTGTAGGTCAAATCATACATGCAAATGGATGTACTCACACAAACATGCTCAAATATTCCTGCAAAGAAATGAAACAAAAAAAAAAAAAAAAAACACCTTTCCATACTGGAAAATATAATTCTGAAATAATAGCAACATTTAATTCCCTAAATCCCAAGATTTATTCCCATATTGACTAACAACAGATTGGGTTAACAGAAACCCTAATAGCTGGAGACAGTTGAATGGCCATCAGTCCATCTTGCCTTTATGTTGGCTGGCAATTTAGTGAGGAGGAGGAGGACGTTTGATAGTCATTTCAGGAGGATTAAAAATTAATTAAAAACCCTGAAAGACTTAATATAAAAAAAAAGAAAAAGAAATCTTGCTTCCCCCCACCTTTTCTTCTTCAAAAATATTTTCACAAACCCAATTTACCAGCAAACAAAAATAAAATAAAAAGTAAAGACTTTAAAAATAAAATAAAATAAGAGTTGATAAAAATCATCACAACCAGTCTTTTTGGGAATTATAACGGTCACTTAGTGTTTGTCTTCACACTTTCTGCTGCTGCCACCGTTGCTGATAGAGTGTGTGTGTGTGTGTGTGTGTGTATAAAAGCAAGATGAACATATTTTGACATACAGATGAAGCAACACTAATTGTACATTTTTTTTTTTTTTTAACACATCATTAGCAAGAGATGCAAGGGAATATCAGTTTTTTGGGCTTCTCCTAAAATGGGGAATATTGGCTTTTAAATGTTCGAAAGCAAAACTTGAAATATTTAGATAAAGAACAGAACAACTTTTTCAGCAGTTGTAGGTTACATTTTCTGATTTTTTTTTTTTTTTGCAAGAAGCAAAATATGCAAAGAAGAAAACCTCTTTTGTATGAAATCAGAAATATAAAATATGAAAACCAAACAATCTTTTATTTGAAATAAAAACAAAAACCAAAATAAATTGGATATAATGTCTAACAAAGAAAAAAAAAAATTCAAATAAATAGCCAAGAAAAATAATGCCGATTTAAAGAAAGAAACTACATAAAAAAACAATAAAATTGAATAAATGTATTTGTCTGATATTAATTTTCCTCAATTTTACAAAATTTACAAAAAATAAAAAAATTTTTAATTTTTTTTTTTCTTTTTTAGGAAGTCTATGTGCACATTCTAAACTTTACTTTCTAGCCACATCTTCTAATACAAATACTTATATTAGCTTGTCATTTTCGTTTTTGTTTTTTTGTTTTGGGTGCTGAAAACAGTGAACAATTTCAACTCTCAAGTTATTAATTGTACAAATCTTAGAAACTTGCTGGAAGTCTTTTTCAAGAGAAATACAAATGAAGATTCCAAGGAACAAAAACATGTTTAAAATAAAATTCCTATCTACATGTTTTGCTTAAAAATAAATTCAGAAGGGGTGTGTGAGGAGGAGCTACTTTCTTAGATTAAGTCAAATGATTCCAAAGATTTTTTTAAAAATTAAAAAAAAAAAAAAAAAAAAAAAAAATACTTTGTCCATCTTTGAAATTTTTTTTTAAAGTGCTTCAAAAAGCAAAAGGAGGAAATATCAGAGAGATTTGAAATAGGAAATTATAGGATTATACCAATTTATTTATTTTTGTTTGCTACTGTTGCTAGAAGAGATATCACGATTGTTTTTCTTTCTTTTTTTTTTCTTCTTTTATGCAGAACAATACAACTTGCCTACATAAATCTGCAGGACAAAGGATAAAAAGAACCAAGTCTGAAATATGAAAAATTCAGAATAGAAGATTTGAATAAAAATTAAATGGAAGAGCTTACTCATTTTGGAGAAAAAATGATAGAGCGTAAAACAAAATGGGTGAAAAGAGTATTGTTAAAATCATTGAAAGATGGAGAGGGAGAAAGAGGGGAGTGAGAGAGAGAAAAAGGGGTGGAAAGAAATAATGGAAAGAGGGAAGGAAAGTCTTATGTCTACAAATGTACACCATCTTATTCTGAAAAATCTTGGCTTAGCAATGGAGTAGGCAGTTAAACTGAAGTGTAATACTGAGAAAAATATTTTCAGTTGGTTTCTCCATTTTGTTTAATTAAAACTTAATTTGCCTTGATAATACTTAAAAAAAAATAAAAAATAAAAAAAAAAATAAAATAAAAATAAATAAAAAGTAAAAAAAAAGTGGACAAGAATGGCCAGAGTCCACTTCATCCAGAAAGCAATCAGCAGTTTCATGTTATTTAATGGCACAAAACAATGAAATGACAAATTGTTGCTTTTTTTTTTATGTTTAATCTAAATTATGTCATGCTGAACCACAACTGATTATGTGAAAATATAAAATTCCCTAAACCCAACTAAACTTAATACATATTTTTAATAAATATTAGTTAAATAGGATTTTGTTCAAACTGCCCCCATCACCAAACCTAGAAATTATAACAGATTTGTTTCTTGTTTTTTTTTTTTTTTCCTTTTCATACAAGTCTTATCAAGTATGAAATCCATTAGTTTTGTTTGTTTTAAATAAAAAGATTTAGAATCTGTCCTGGAATGCTCAACTCTGGACTTAAAAGGGAGAGAGAGAGAGAGAGAGAGAGAGAAAGAGAGAGAGAGAGAGAGAGAATAGAAAGTGACAAGTGGCTTGGTTCAGACACACTGTACCAGGAGTTCTTATTTTTTCACCCATCATCCAATGTTCACACACACAAAAAAAAAATATGCCTGGTGAATGATGTTAGTAGTGATGATGAAGAGAAGGAGACATGCGGCAGATATTTATGGGTATAGCTTAGATTTGAAAAAATAGGATGAACATTATCAACATTGTAGTCTAATGTCACTGTCATTTCATTGTAGTCAGAGAGTCACCATAATTAATAGTCATTGTATTTTGAATAGAATCCCTCAGAGAATATATCGGTTGTTCCCACTTGTTATGTACATAGAAAAAGTTAAACCAAAAGTGGTGAATAGTGAACAACTCTGCCCCTTTTCTTACCCAATCTGAAAGACCCATGGAGGAGGAAGAGTAGTAGGAGAACAGGCCCAGCAGATTGCAACAAAGTTCCTCTGACTGGTCACACTCAATACACACTTTCAGGACTTTGAGGAGTTCAGAGAGAGAGAGAGTGAGTGAGCAAGAGAGAGGATCACTTGCTAAAAGCAGCTATAACTGCCCACATCATTTCATTGGAACCCTCCTTCATGCTCTCCACGTCAAATTCAAGGTCCAGTAATTCACGCACACGTTTCATGGCGACTTCATAGTCGTCATCAGAGAGGGGAGCAAAGGCATTTTCCAACACATCCGAGGCATGAGCAAGGTATATGAGAGCCAGAAGACGTTTGTCCATTCTTTGCGGATTGTTAGTCCATCGACTCAGCACGGCATCCTGCACTCGCTTGATCACCTTCTGTTTCACAACAGCATCCGTCAGTGGATGAGTGGTCATGTCAAAAAGAAGGAAGTTCTGTTTTTCAGTTGTGCAAACACCCTTCTCCACTAAATTTTTAGCCAATCTCTCACGGACATTGCGCAGCTGGTATTTCAATTTCAATGGATTCCAAGTCTCACCTAAAAACGAAGAAAGAAATTTCATTTTAATCAGGGTAGAAATATTGAAAATATTTAAGCACCGAAACAATACGTTACTGACATTTGTTGCTTTTAATAACACTGAGTCAAGATAAAACCAATGATTTGATTTGAACATACAACACAATTTTGATCTTGTGTTACATGGAGATGAGTTTTTGCTTTTTGATGTTAAAAAAAAAAAAAAAAATCTCACCTCTACATATACTCTCATTAAAATGTACCAATTTTGAAAATTATTCAATTGTTAGATAAACTCCAAAGATCATCTTGTTGAAAGGTTGTTTATAAAACAAGGCCTGTTCAAGTCAGTCACTCATTGGGTCAACATTCTGCATTATTACCAATCCATTTCTGCCCTCATATTTATATTAAGATCTGGAATTCAAAAGATTTTCAACATCACACTCCCAAATTAGTTAAATTTAAATGTCACCATTGTGATTTGTCTACAATGAGACTACATTAAGAAAATATTCCATGTCTGTGAGTTGACAAAAACAGTAGGTCTGAAGTGAAATTGTGTGTATGGAAAAATCCAAAAGAGAGCAGTTTTATTCTAATCACAAACATCTATATAAGAAACTTGATATTTTCACATGAGGAACTTCAGTATTTCAAATTCATACAATTACTTTCTTAGGGTTTTTTTTTTTTTTTTTGTTACTAGTAAATGCAGTGGTGACTATATGAATCTATTTTAAAACCAACAGCAATTATAGGTTGAAATCAGTTTGGCAACACTGACTGTTCATAGGGCATTATTGATTATTTGAAATTTATAGGGACCTTTTAAAGTAGTATAAACCTGCCAGCTTTGGGTGAAGGGAATTTCCGTTTGTAGTTCCACGGCTCAACTGGTGATTGAAATTTGTCAAAATTAATAAATTTTACATCACTTAAATTTCCAATTGGGTCGAATTCAATTAGCTAATGAAAAAAAATTCTTGAGATGTGATTAAATACAACAAAATATTTATAGTTCAATATCCAATATATTTTCTTATCAAGTGCTGACATATTGCTAATTACTAGAATGTTTATTTCTTTAAGCAATGAAAATAAGAACCAAGACAGAATCAAAGATGGTCTTTCTGTTAAACAATATTAATAGACAGAAGAAAACCATAAAATGTTAATTTTGTAAATAATTTCCAAAGAAGCTAACAAGAAAAAAAAAAATGTGCATTTTGTATAGATTGTTTCCTATCCTAATTGTTGTGCTGAAGAGAAAATATAATGATAAAGATGATACTGATTCTTAATTCAATAAAAAGATGGTATCATCGTCACACATTCATACAAGATTCAGAATAAACCTCAAAAAGTGACTCTTTATACATTTGTTCTTTTCAACAATTATTTGGGACTAAAATAATTACAACTAATATTTTTAATATTAAATTATTTTCAGAAGTAAAACTTTTAGAAGTTGGTATTGGAACAATGAAAGACAATAATTGGAATTTTAGGAATTACTGGGCTTTCCTTTTTTTTTTTTTTCAAGTTTTACAAGAGATTATCATATGTGGATACAACTAAAGCAACAGAGAAGATGACACTTATAATAAGTCTATGATTGTTTCTTCACCTGCAATTCTCATTTGTGGAATTCACTTTTGTTTTCCTGGCAACTATGATCTTCAAAAATTTAAATGCAATGTCACTGTCAGTCATCTGTCTCTTTGAAACCTGTTCTTTTGTCCCCTCCATTTTTTATTTTCACTTGCATCTTACTGGTTTTTATCACCTTGCTTGAGGTGAAAGGATATATTAAAAAGACATTTTGTTCAGTCATAGAGCATTCCCAGTTCAGTTCTTGCTATGGCTTTGTAGCTTTTCAAGAGATTAAAAGACAATTGGTTATTTTGGTAATTTTTTAGCCATTAATTTTATTGAGGCTTTGAAAATAAGTCAATTTTAAAAAATTACTGATTAAATGCATTCTTTTGTGCTTTTGTTGTGGCCATTCAGATGAAGCCAGGGTAGAACCAAAGATTAAATTTGAACACAGAGCAAGGACAAGCAAAATAGAGAGAGAGAGACAAGCAGAAGTTTAGGATTGAAATTTAAATCATTACAAAATATTCCTCTATCATCATCATCATTGTCATTACAAAGGAAAGATATATCAAAAAGGCAAAGGAAAATAATTTTTACCATTTTAAAAGTAAGTTTTGAGTAAATGGAATTTTAACTTATAATTTGATACTTTTTTTTTCATTATCCAAAGTAAAGCTACAAAGCAGTTATCAATTTGTTTGATTAAAGTAGAGTACCTGCTTGTTGAAAGGCACTGAAACTAACACATAGCAGATTTAATTCTCAAACTATGTGTGTGTGTGCGCCTGTATACCAAAAATAAACAAAATAAATAGGCCTAACATCTGTAGAAGTTAATTTTGTTTACACAATACAGAAATTTAAATTCAGATTAAAAGAAAATAAAAAAAAGTTGGGAAAAATTCTATTGTAGGATTCATATAGATTTAAAATAAATTGTTCAAGATGTACTCTTTGAAACAAAGAATATTTATTTACAAGATTCTAAAAAAAAAAAAATAAAAATAAAAAGTGACCCAATTACAATGCAATTTTTATGGAAAAATAAAATTGATAAAAAAAAAAAAAAAAAAAAAAGCTTTATTCTAAAATTCACAAAAAAAATTTACAAAATTATTTACCATTTTATAAAAATATCTATGAACCATAGAAGAAAATTTAAACAAGAATGATTTTTCAGGATATAATAAATTTTCTTCTTAAATTATTTTATATCTCTGATTACTTCTAGTTTTAATTTTCCAATTCTTTTTATAATTGTGATCTTGGATCAAGGATGCCTTATCAACAGAAATCCAAGGTCTGAAACTCTGGCAGTTATAGGTTACATCTCTTACACTTTCTTGAAAAACAATTTTGAAAAAAAATTTTTAACTGTTGCTAAGTTTGTAAAAACTTAGCAACAGTTAAAAATTTTCAAAAAATGCTTAGAAAATTTGCAGAGATATTATCTAGTGTCAGCTGACTGATGATGAAATCTTAAATCAAGAATGGACACTAAGCACCTTGACCAAAGCAATTGGTGAGGCTGGTAAATTGTGTTCTTTGGAATGGTTAGCAAAACATTGCTTAATTAATCTGAATGACAAAAATGCAAGTGTGTGTGTATATATATAAAATAATGGACTGTCCCGTCGGTTTCGACGTATGAGGATCTGACAGCTTAATTGATTCAGTTATGAAATTTTGTGCGATAATCTTAAATGACATTTAAGACCCGCTAGTGACGCCAGCGAACCTTGCAAGTGAATTGTGTGGATAAGAATAAATCAAGGTAAACTGTCAAAAAACCCATACAAGTAATTTGGTTAAAGTGGTGAAGTCTTGTGCAGAACCATCCACACTTTTCTGAATTATTGATACACTCAGTCAGTGCAAACACATGCCACAGACGAAGCAGACAATATACCTCAGGCTTTTCGCGTAAGAGTTTTCCATCTCCTAGACCAATTGTGTTCTATAACACTAAAGAGCTTGGTCAGCCCTGGTAGACACTATTTGCTCATAGCTGGGACTCTAACAGGTGCTACCACCCCAGGTCAGGGCAGACCTGGGAACAACAGCAATTAAAAGGTGGTTCCATGCTCCTTAAATCCTCCAATCTCCTGATGAGAAGACTTGCTGCCAGATGTAGTTTATCATCATACCCAGGACATTATATATATATATATATATATATATATATATATATATATATATATATATACACACACACACACACACACAAGAGATTTAGAGGATGGGTGAAGATCAGTGCTGCCCATTACCCTTAAAATAAGGTACAGTAGATGATCAACAAAGGTACTACTTGTACCCAATGCCCCCCAATTTTTTTTTTTTTTTGATGTCGGAGTAAACAGTTCGAAATTAAACGGTGCCGATATAATGCTATATATATATATATACATTTTAAATAACACTAATAAAATAAAGAAATATAAGATTATTATTAAAATATTTTATAATTATTGTTATAAATGTTGTTATATATTGTTGCTAAAAAAAAAAATTTGAACGGTAACAATAGAACAAATTGACTAGCAGTAAAAACGAAACAAAATAACGTTAACTGGGAACGCATTTACAATAAAATTAAAAATAAGAAAATGTAAAGAATTAAAATTCATACTGAATGTTATAAAAGAAACTTTGAATATAACTAATAATAATAGAAAAAAAAGAATCTGTGATAATGAGCCACTAGTCAAAGATAAACAAAATAAACATTACAAAAATACTTTCCACTAATTCCGAAAATTACGTCCACTTTCGTAAAAACAACATATAAATAAATGTTACGCTTAGATATAAATAAATTAAAATTATTCATGCCACTTAGTCAAATAAATATTCTTATAACTGTTAGCGAGAAATTTCACTAGCAAAACGATTGTTTTAAAATAAAAAAGATAGAAAGAAAAAAGAAAGGAAATAAAAATCATTGTATACCACGACTAAAGATAGGTAAACATGTACAATAAAATTATAAAATACAAATATTAAATACTGTAAATGAATAACATAAATAAAATATCATAAAATAATAAACAAGAAAAACATAAGAATAATGTATGATTAAAAATAAAACAATCGAGACTTAACATCGCTTTCTTAGAGCCATGAAAAAAAAAAAAAAAAAAAACAACACACGTCCGATTATAGGACTATTTATTCTGATTGGAATTGGACAGGATGATTAAATAATTAACAAATAAGAAACATTAATCTACGTTTCACTTTTATTAAAGTGCGTGTCTAGTGGGGGCTCTATAGAACCCCCACCAGACAGACACATATACACAATTACAAGTTACCATCTGATGCCCACTTAAGCATACAAGAATCTTCACAAACTTACATACACATAGAATTATCTAGTTTTATTACATGTGACACACGTCTGACCAATGAGAACT